AGCCAGGCGGCGGGCGGTGGGGTGCTGGGGAGGGGTCAGCCCACTCTGGGGGCTGTGTGTGCTGGGAAGGGGGTTTGCCTGCAGCCCCCCGCAGCGTTAACAGCCGGCGGATCCTGCTCTCCTTTCTCTTACAGGACATGTACCCCGTGGCCTAATCTGCCACCCCGACAGGGAACACCTGGTGTACCCGCTGGGGTGTACCGTAGTCATTCAGAAGCTGCAGGATAAGCAGCAGACCTTCTTGCGCGGCCACACCGATAGCATCACCTCTGTCGTCCTCTCCAGGGACGGGGAGTATGTGGCTTCTGGACAAGTCACTTCCATGGGTTTCAGGGTGGGTAATGCTCTAATTTGAACTCTAATTTTAATTGACCAAAGGCATTGGAGTTGGCTTGCTGGGGGTGGGAACGCCTTTCGTTTATTTTGTTCTGTTGTTGGAAAACAAATGCCTACAGCGGGAGGAGGTGGCAGAGAATGGGAAGTTGTGGCTAGTCCATTGCTGGATGTGCCTTTTTGTTTTCTTAAAGTGTTAAGCAGTCTCCCTAGGACTGAGTTAACTAGATTGAGAGGTTTCTTAGTTCTGATCCTTTTTATCCAAAAAGCGGGCATGTGGCAGCCTAAATCTCATTAGATATTAATTAATAATGGTGGTATATTTAAAGTGAGACCTGAGTTCCAGAGCTGCCTAGGACTTTCAGAAGCCCCTGACAGGTACTTACCTGCGGTTTTAGACCTCTGAAGTTCTCTATGGTTTAACGTTTGCCTATTTGAAAAGACCCTGAGACTCATGGAAGGAATCAAGTAATAGTGTTTTCAGTATTTTAAAATCTCAGTCAAGTACTCGATGTCCCAAGGTAAATTTTGATTCTGAAATGAAGTGGAGCTACTCGACCGGGAAGCTGGAATAATGCTTCTTCCAGCAGCTAATCTGAAGCATATTCGTGTCAGCGGAGCCCTGGCTGGATAGAAGCAGCCCTTAAGCTGGGCTGCTTCTAACGACTCTTCTGCCAGACAAAGTTGTTGTATCTGATCCTGCATGTTGTATCTGACACTCTGGCTTTGCACCGCAGGCAGACATCATTCTGTGGGATTTCCAGAAGAAGGAATTACTTGCTCGGCTGTCGCTGCATAAGGGTAAAATTGAAGCACTAGCGTTTTCTCCGAACAGCTTTTATCTGGTGTCCCTGGGAGGCCAGGACGACGGCAGGTAACCATGTCCGCTTCTTGCACAAGATCTCCGACAAGTTGTAGGGTGAGGATAAATGCTGTTGGGGACTACTCGCTCCTCCCTGCTCCAACAGCCTGACTCCTTCCCCTGCTGACGCCTCTCCTCAGCAACCCCGCTCTGTCCGGTGGGAAGCCGGGTGAGGGCTGTGGGCAGAGCACGGGGAAGCAGTTGAGGGACGAGACGGGCGAGCAGGTAATTCGTGGCTCAGTGCACTGCTCAGAAGAAGTATAAATTTCACTGAGGGCTTGCTTTGACACACAAATCACAGAATCACAGAATCACAGAATAGTAGGGGTTGGAAGGGACCTCTGTGGGTCATCTAGTCCAACCCCCCTGCCGGAGCAGGGTCACCTACAGTAGGCTGCACAGGATCTTGTCCAGGCGGGTCTTGAATATCTCCAGAGAAGGAGACTCCACAACCTCCCTGGGCAGCCTGTTCCAGTGCTCCGTCACCCTCAGAGGGAAGAAGTTCCTCCTCATGTTCAGACGGAACTTCCTGTGCCTCAGTTTGTGCCCATTGCCCCTTGTCCTGTCACTGGGCATTGCTGAAAAGAGCTTGGCCCCATCCTCCTGACACCCACCCTTCAGATATTTGTAGGCATTTATAAGGTCCCCTCTCAGCCTTCTCTTCTTCAGGCTGAACAAGCCCAGTTCCCTCAACCTCTCCTCGTAGTGGAGATGTTCCAGTCCCCTCACCATCCTTGTAGCCCTCCGCTGGACTCTCTCCAGTAGCTCTTCATCCTTCTTGAACTGGGGAGCCCAGAACTGGACACAGTACTCCAGATGAGGCCTCACCAGGGCAGTGTAGAGGGGAAGGAGAACCTCCCTTGTCCTGCTGGCCACACTCTTGTTGATGCACCCCAGGATCCCATTGGCTTTCTTGGCAGCCAGGGCACACTGCTGGCTCATGGTTAACCTGTCATCCACCAGGACACCCAGGTCCCTCTCCGCAGAGCTGCTCTCCAGCAGGTCCACCCCAAGCCTGTACTGGTGCATGGGGTTGTTCCTCCCCAGGTGCAGGACCCTGCACTTGCCCTTGTTGAACCTCATCAAGTTCCTCTCTGCCCAGCTCTCCAGCCTATCCAGGTCACGCTGAATGGCAGCACAGCCTTCTGGTGTATCTACCACACCTCCCAGTTTGGTGTCGTCAGCAAACTTGCTGAGGGTACATTCTAACTCTTCATCCAGGTCGTTGATGAAGAAGTTAAACAAGACTGGGCCCAGTACTGACCCCTGAGGGACACCACTTGTCACCAGCCTCCAACCAGACTCAGCGCCGCTGAGTAAGAGTGGAGTAAAAAGTTATTGTAGATCGGATTCTGAGTGGCCTGGGATATGATTTGAGTTTTGCTCAGCAGAAGGAATCTGACAAATACAGGTACCCTTGGTTCAGGAGCAGGGGATGTAAACTGCAACTCCGCAGGTTTATGATAAGGTTTTTCCTGGGTAAAATCTGCACAGAGTTACTTTTGTTGTGTATCCTGGTGGGAACAGACTGCGGGAAAATAGGTTTTGTCTTGCTTTCATTTTTCAGTAGTTTGTTTTTAAGTAATGTCAAAAAGCAAAGCTGTTTCAAGCCCCTCCTTCTCCTGCAGTGTAGTGGTGTGGGACGTTGCAAAGAGAGAGCTGATCTGCCAGGGGCCGGCCTCGCCGCGCACCGCCGGGAACGCGACCATCGTTGCGTGCTCCAGCTGCAGAGACAGCGTGTTTGTTACTGCTGGAAAGTAAGGTTTAATTTAGGTGAAAGAAATGAGAGAAACAACCCGTGGGCCTATTTCCTTTTACAAAGAGTCTTTACTTAAGTACGAGTAGTGTGCGCTCATGTTTTTTGTTTTTGCTCTAAATGGACCCACGAATATGTCAGTTTGTCCCTTTAAGGCATTTCTACTTGTTCCACACGTAAAAATACGGTTTCAAAGCAGCACACAGGGACCTGCGCGCATCGCTTCTCTTCCTGATAGCAGGATTCTGTACTCAGCATTCCCCATGCAGTGTTCAGAATATTGAGTTGCCAGCATTTACACAAGAAAAGCAGTCAGCCAGTGGATCTGAACAATGGTTTAATTAATGTAGAAACGATGCTATCTTGCAGGTCCTTGGATCATCTCCTACCCTCACGAGATGTGATGTACAGTTGGTCTCTGGCTTCTAACAAAAGTCCCCCCTCAATTTATTCTGACATTTAAACGTATTGAGGACCTGCAGCTACCTTTAAATCAGGGAAGGCTTTGGGTGCCCTTGGCTGCAGTTGCACTTCTGAGTGCTGGCCTTTGCAATTTTAACACTTTGTTAAATGTAAGGGCGACCGTGTGTAAAGATTTTGTATTGGCTCATATGTTGTCAGTTAAATTGTGCTAGAAAATAGTTGAAAGTGTCCCATACCCTTCATTTTTTGTTCTAGGATCTAAGATTTCCTCAGTGCTTGTCTCTGGGAAATGAAGCATCAAGGTTGTTACATACTCATCTCTAATCCTCATATATGTTTTTGCTGAACCTTTAAGATTTTTGATTTACCTGGAAAAAGGGACTGTAAGAGACAGCAGGAAAAACAGAGACTTTCCTCTGGCCTCTCTGATACTGTTCTTTTCCTCTGTATTAAGATTTCAGAATAATGTAGCCTTGTAAAGGCTTTTTAATTCTTGCAGTAGTGAAAAATTTGGATGTTTCTGCTTATATGGATTTGATGCCACTATATTCGTTCTTACAGTGAGACCATTCAAGTATGGGAAGTGGATATACTGACTGGGAGAATGCAGCCGACGCTGTGCCGGACAGGGCATCTGAGAAGAGTGGTCACCTGTGTTACGGTAAGTTGCAGACAAAATGGTTTGACTAAACTAACAAATTCTCTACAGTCTAGAGAAAAAACACCAGCTTTTATAGTAATGCTAGAAATGCCAGTTACAACTGCATAGTTGCAGTAAAGTTACCAAGTGTTGGCTCGTGGCAGATGGTCTCCCACAGTTTCGTTATCCCAGAGAAGAGTGTTTTGAATGCTTCTGAAGAGAAGCGGTAAGTATTTAAGTCACAGGCTCCAGCACCCAAAGAATCCCACTTTTGCTTCGAAACGTTATCTAGATTTGGTTAGAAAATGTCTTGCATTCAGCGGTGTTATGGATCTTTGAGTGTGACGGGGTGAAAACATTGGCTGTATCCCCTCAGCTGAAATCCTGGCAATACACTGAAATAAAGACATTTATGCCGCCCAGTGCTAGGCTTGGGACAAGTGTCTCGGTATCCAGACCGTGATCTCTTTTTTTATGCTTTCCTATAGATGTCAGATGACGGTACGTATTTCTGTGCTGGCACATCAAGTGGTGATATCGTGAAAATGAGTACAAGCGACAAGGTGATGATTAGCTTTGGGCCCCAGAAGCACAAGTTTAGCTTGGTGAGTAGCAGCTCTGTGACTTCAATTTTTTCCTTCTCCTCCTCTTTGTTAGTAACTGAAAGTAGGACAGCCTCCAGGAGAACGGTTACAAAGTTGATTCACAGACTACACCTTTTTGTCTGCTATTAGTTCTTTGTGTCTCAGTCTTGATCCTGAAGTCTGAGATCGTTAGCCCAGCTTTGTTCAGTTTCTGAACAAAGAAATTTTGGCTCAGAATCTGGGTTTTACCTGAATCTCATGCGTCATCCCACAAACTCTCTTGTGTAATAAATCTGGTAAAAGTCATAAAAAGTGAAAAACAATCATAAAAGTGGAGTAGTTCCCGAGTTTGGTTTTTTTTTAGGAAGATAATAGCTGGAGGGAGGCAGAGGACATTCCTGGGAAGACTGGTAGAAGTGCTTTTTTAAGAGGCTTTCCCACACTTACTGCTATAAGGTCCTATATTCAGATCTTGCAGATTTGTTTAATTGTCTGGGCTGAAATTTTCCAAGACAGCTCTTAAAGAAACCTCCACCCCCTAGATTTTTGTATTTGTTCCCCGTACCATTCCTCCGCCTGCCCTTCAGGACGTTGTCTTTCTGAAATTCTGATTCTGCCACTGATGAGGCAGAGGTCTTACTCGAAAAGGTAATAGAGATGATATGATTAAAGAGTTTATTGTAATGCATGTGCACAGTTGGGACAAAACAAGGTTGCACAGGGAATATTGATTCTGTTGCTTTTTAACTTCCGAGCACTTGGCTTCATAACCCCAAAGTTCTTTTAACTTAGGTTTTATTTGTCTATAATTGGGACTTACAGGTCTTGGTGTGAGTATCCTCAGACAGGAGTATCTCCTTCCGTTGTACAAGAATTCTGCGTGCGGGGAGCTGTAATGATAAACAGTCAGCACCAACTGGTACACTTGTTCTTCATTTCTCTTGATTTGTCACTGTAAAAGACTGCATGTAGCTTCTCAGTTTACGCCCAGTGGAGGAAGTGATACCGAAGGGGTTTAAACAATTCCCTGAAAAACTTTCTTGCATGAGGTTCAATGTGTTTTGCGATTCTGTTAGCAACCATGAAAATCGGTGAGCGGCAGGGGAAGCCATGCAGATGGGAGTACCGAGGGTGCTGCGAGGGATGCCATGGGGAAGCTGTCCTACAAAGCAGCAGATCTTGGTTTAGAGTAAACACAAGACTAACAAGAACTGTAAGAAATATTCGGTGGTGAGCCCCAAAGAAAAAGCTACTCTGGATTTGTTTCTCTAAATCCCCTGAACTTTGCTTGTACCAACGCATATACACGCAAACCATATATGTCCCCATTCAAAATTCAGTGTTTCTTGCATTGTAAATGCAGGCCCATTAACTCTGGGATAACTTGGAGCTACTGAATTCTTTGAAATATATTTCAATGTTTATCTATTCCAGAAGATTGGAGAAGTTATTGCTCATTTTTCCCAGTTGCGTTGTAGGAATGCAAGTAGTTTAATTCTGTGTACGTATGAAGTGACAAGAATGTCTGTGTTTTGTTTTCCTGACGGAAACCAGAAGTTTACTGCAGGTGCGTACTCTCAGGGGTGTACCTGTGCTGTACATCTTCCAGCAGTCATCCCACAGGGTTTTGCATCCACACAGGCCCCATGTCCTGGCTGATCTCCGCTGTGGCTTACGGCAAGGTCTTGATGATCAAGTGTCACCTCCCTGTTTACGTGTTTGTGTGGTTTGAGTCCTGCTCCATCTGGCAGTGCACGCACTTCATCTGGAGTAGCTGAGTGAAGCCACACGAGGTCCTGAACTCCCTTGCCTTCAGGGTTGATGGAGGGGTGCCAAATGCATTTGAAACGAAACATCACAAAGAATAACGCTTCTGAGACGATTGCTAAGGAAGCGCTCAAGTAGGGTCCTTAGCAGGATGCTGTACAATTTTGGGGGTTGAAAGAGGGCCTAGGGCCTCTTGGGGAAAAGCAGAGGCTCAAAGCCAGAGCACAGCCCGATCGGTACTGTGAGGGGTTTTATCATAAGGCAAATCCATAGGAACCAGTTTGTGGCAGAGACTTTTAGAGCATTGTGAGCTTCAGCTGACATCACTTCTGATAGTGAAAAGCTGAAGAAAAACAGGACCTTTGACTGTGCAGGAGACTGACGAGATGATAGGGAGAAGTTCCACAAGTGGATCGCATCACAGCTGCGTGCCAGCCATGTGGGTGACCTGAGCTGGTAGGCACTGATCTGACTTGAACTTTATGAGCATTATGGAATGGCAGCTGCTTAAGATAGAGCACTGGTCATTTTGGGAGAAGGGAAAGAAGAGGAGATGTTCACACTGGGTGGAAAGAGCAAGCAGTCCTTCCAATCTCCTCCTTTACCCTGTTGCTTAAAACACATTTTGGTTCGCAGACAGGCTTCTTAGTCGGACACGTACTCAACTGTATCACCCCCCCTCCTCTTGCTTTCTTCCTCTCTGCTCCCTTCCCTCACTCTTACCAATGCAGTTTCCATATGCCTGAAATGGGAAATTCATCAGGGCAAACCTGTCTTGTTGCAGTCGGTGAGAAGGTGCTGGTGCATTTTGATTTCCAGCTTTCATACTTTGCAGTTCTCCCTTCCCAGCTCTGTACTGTGATTCCCTTTCCACCCACCCGCTGCACATCTCTGCATACAAATAATACCTTGTCACTAGACTGTCAACAAGTCCTCGCTGAACACACGTAGGACCTAATGATTTATGGCAGAAATTTCCCATTGTAGCAGAGCCTTCAAAGCCGAAAGAGGTATTTTGCAGATGTTTTTTCAACTCAAAATCACAGCATTTATCAAAACAAAAGTATTTGCATCCTTTCTTCTACACAATTGAGTGCGTAATATTGCTAACCCTAGGAGAAGTGTTGATTTTTATTACCCCCCCCCCGCCTTGCAGAGCTTATTTCACAAGACATCTTTTGTATCTTGCTTGAAAATCTACCATGTCTTGGTAGTTGTCACAAAAATCCTCCCCTCTCTGGCCGTGCAAAGCAAAGCTTTTTCAGGGTGGGCACGGCTGCTCCAAAGCACGGCTCTAGGGACAGGCGCTGCCTCTCCCAACCAGGCATCCCCGGCTCCCTGGCAGGGAGGTCGGCTGTGCAGCCTCCCGTGGTGGAACCACCCCGGCCTCCCTCCCCGTGGAACCGCTTTCATCGCTTCATTGCAGTTCTGTCTGAAAAGAGGTGTATTGGTGAGCAAACATTAACGCTGTGTCTCTAAACACGCTGCTCACCAGCCACGCCGGGGAACGACGCGCCAGTGGCGTGCCGAGAGACTCTCAGCCTGGGATCCACAGCCACCCCGGCACGAGCGTATCTTTACAGAAGGAGTTTAGATACTGCTTGGGTGAGGAGAAGCTGTTTATTGAAAATCAGTTTGGCAAGCCATAAAGTAACTTTGCCTTTAGGTATATAAGAATGTGTTTATTATGTAGACATGATCTGAAGATTTCTTTGTTTCTGTTTTGAGGAGGAGTGGCAGAATAGTTCACTGGCATGATGAAGCAACTTGTTTTCTGTCTACATGGAATGAAGCGCATTTCTGTAACATCTATAAATACTGGAATCAACAGCAAAATTAATTTTTATCCCAGTCTCATGCTTGAAGGGCTATAATGCACTCGTTCAGGTGCAAAGCGGGACGTACGATTGCAAATGCATTTTCGGAAATAGTTGAAGTGATTTGCATTATGAAAAAAAAAAATATTGAAAGGAAGCGCGCTGGAAGAGTTCATAGAGCACTCAAGAGCTTAGCAAGAGATCAGAATGGGACAAAGAGCAAGTATCCCTGCAGGGAAGGGAATGGGCAGGCTGGGTTTTTGCTGGTATTTTCGTTTATAATCATACTTCAAAGCAGTGGTTTCTTTTTGTAAGAAGTAAATAATGAATGGTGATATTTTTAACCTCCTACATTAGACTCTACAACAAGACTGGCAGTGCATAAAATACAGTATTCATTGCATCGTTAGTGTGAACGGCTTGATGAGTGCAGCTTCCAAAGCTATCTGTTTACTCGTGGTGATTCAGAGAACAGACTAGACAAGAAGGAAGCACAAGTGTCAAGCTGGAGTTGAAATGAAACTCTGATGATTTCGAGACCCTGGCAGGGAATCGTGGCCACTTTAATGTTGTTTTTTCATGTCTTAATAATATCTGCTTCCCTCTCAAATTGAAGAACCCAAGAGAATACCTCAGAAAAATCAAAGCAGTCTTGGCAGTGCTGCACAAACTTTAATTTGTTAGCAGTAGCAGGGAGCTGTAATCAGATAAACTACGTAGTCATAGGTTTGATTCCTAATGCCGCCACCTGCCATAATGCTAAACCCAAAGGGCATTTGAGGTGGAAGTCTTTTACAGGAAAAACAGCAAAGCAGTAGATCAAAAGGCAGTTGATGGGCCTGTGATAAGAGGGGACGTGCAAAATGCTGCCAACACCTCATAGGAAATTTTTAAAAACGTTGTTCAGAAACAGTTCTGCTTGTGGATCATATTTCTAATTAAAAAGAATCTCTTTGTTCTCGTGGTCTTGCTAAGAATATTTGCATGAAACCTGGCTTCCTGCCTGGTAGTGTTGTCATAGCATGGCGTAAAATCCTCTCTGGAGGTTGTGTTTTTCACAGTGATCAGTCCTGATGTGACAGGAGACTGTGGATATGCTACTGGTGGAGACGGACTGTTGAAGAAATCCAGTGCAAATAAATTACAAATCAGGATAATTTTTTTTTTCCCTCTGCAATCCATATTTATTTGATCGTGAAGTTAAATAGTCCTTAAGTCAATGCGTAGGTAGGCGCAAGGCTGCCTGGAATGCCAGCACGGGAATGTGCAGTTATGTAGATGGTCAGTATTTTTTTTCTTCAAAAAGTATAAGCAGGACTTTAAAAACAACCATTTACTTCTATTTGGTTGGAGAATTGAACCAAGGTCGTTTTTCCAAACCTTGTCTGTGGCTTTTGCAACATCCTTTCTGGGTCTGAATAGCTCAGATGTGCATTTTGTTTTCTCTTCGTTCGTCATTTCCTCCTTCTCCTTCGTTAGAGCTTCAGTCCTTTCCTCACAGAGAGTCACCATTTTCTGGCTTTCATTCCTTTAAACACCTGGAAGTGTTTCATCCTGAAAATTCAGTGAGGTTAGGCCAGATTAATGCTTGAAAAGAACAGGAATGCTGGGTGGTGCTGCTTGGATGTCAAACTTTGTCATAAAGTGCTGACACCTGTATTTGTTCAAAAATCACAAGGCAAGCATGTGACAGTGATTTCTTCCTAAAGAATAAATGCAGAATTCTTCTGATTTCCCTCTTGGTTATCATTCTTTGAGAATTCCCTTCTTCAGGCTTGTTGTTTTCACATAATAGCTCTATGAGCTCTGGCTTAAAGGAAAAAAATCTTAATATTGTGAAGCTGCTGGGACTATCACAACAGTTGGCAATACTGCTGATTAGCCTAGGTAGTGGCAAATGTTGCTGGAGTCGGTACTGCATCTTCAGATGTCAACCTCAACAGACTCCTGAGCAGTCGCGGGGAGCCTGGAGCTGCTACCCGCTGGCCTTTCTGTTTGGAACAACCGACAGCGAGGAGTTTCTGCCCTCTTGGTGAGGGTGGAAATGCCTCTTGTACACGCTTGCTTCGTGACAGAGCTTCCTTTTCAGTCCAAGCTTTGATGGCGTAAAGCTCCAGTGTTTCCTTTTTTTTCTTTTTCCTTTCCATTTCACTCACGCATATGTTCCGCCGAGGTAGCAGGGATATTTTTCTGAGTAAGAATATAAGGATTTAACCCCATAGAAGTCATTTCACCCCTCCTGCAGCCTACCTTGGAGTCTCTCAGAGATTTTCAAGAATGAATCTGTTGCCTTATATACAGAACAGTAATGTTACTTCACAGGTAGCACTACTGAAGCAGAGACTGACTTTTCTTAGGCTTAAAATTTTGCTACAAGGCTGAGAACTGGTTTTGTTTATTGATTTTGTGGTTGTTAGTTTTTTTTGCTGTAGTCTGGTACTTTATCCACTGAAAAGCATTTCTCCTTTTTCTAATGGCTGACCTGCTGACCTCCTGTTGATCTACTCATCTTAGTAAATAGCAGAAACACACGTTGAAGGTGGGCTGACTAATTTCCAGAGCTTTTCTGTGGCAGTTGTGGTTTATAACTAATAGGTGGGAGGTGGGATTGCATCTTTCAGACAGGGAGAGAGGCCTGTGACGCAGAGGATCTGTCCTAAAAGCAGCTGTAGGAAAGGATGCTTAGGCTGAGTTTTATCCTCTGTTGTTCTCGTGTCTGACAGATGAAGAACCAATGGAAGGAAAAGTGGAGGCACTTACACGAAATGTGTGTAGTGCTTGCTGGAAGGAGGTAAGGATATCACAGAATCACAGAATCACAGAATGGTGGGGGTTGGAAGGGACCTCTGTGGATCATCTCGTCCAACCCTCCTGCCAAAGCAGGGTCACCTACAGTAGGCTGTAGAGGACCTTGTCCAGGCGGGGCTGGAATATCTCCAGAGAAGGAGACTCCACAACCTCCCTGGGCAGCCTGGGCCAGGGCTCCGTCACCCTCAGAGGGAAGAAGTTCTTCCTCATACGTGGTCCTGGCTGCTCTGAAGGATTTGTGATGGTGCTGTTTACTTGCTCTATAAAGACTCATACTGTAGTAGTTCATATACACCTGTAATTAATAACTCTTTTCTCCCTTTTCCCTCTAGAGAGTCATTTTTTAGCCTAGGTCAGTCAAAGAATATTGATAAAGCCAAATGTGAGTGACAGAAACACCGGCACCAGGAGCATGGCAGAGACTCCGTTGTGCTCTTCAGCATAGCTGCAGCAGTCAAGAGCCTCTGCCTCCATCCAATTGTGTTTTAATCCTGTTTCCTCCTAGGGAGTGACAGCTTTGCGTTTGCTGAACAGAGGAAATTCAATAGTCTGCACTGGAGGAGGGATTGTAGCTCTCTGTGTAGGCCCAAACTACAAAGTGATAAAGTGAGTTTGTGGGTGGGAGAATCAGGAGGGTGGAGGTGTCATTTCCCCCAAAGGGTCTCAGTAGAAGAACCAATCGTTTCTACATAAAGGCATAATCCGAGTAAATCTCAGTTTTCCAGTCCTCCAGACAAAACAGACAGTGTGGTTCCAGCGTAATCAAGCTGAAGCAGACTGAAAATGATGGCATATGTTTGCACAGAAGTGAATTGCCCTGCGCATCGTTCATTTGAAATGACCGTAGTTTCCTTTCAGGCATTAGGAGTCAGATCCAAAATTGATGCAAAGTGAGACAGGTCTATTGAAGTCAGTAAAATTATGCTTATTTATCCCAGCCGAGAAAGAGTAGTATTTGGCATCTAAAGAGGGGTTTGTTGGAGGACCTGGCATTTAAAGGAGGGATCCGCTAATTTTATCAGCACGTGTCTGGAGTACATGGAAGGCTTTTCTCTGCATACAAAATAGAAAGCTGCAGGCGTCATTTCCCCAGATGTGATTCGAAAACTGGGCTCACAGCTATCCATTTTGAATAGCCAACTTAAACGTACAGTTCTGTAAGGTTAGCTTTGTACGATCGAAACCATTTCCAGAAGATCTGAACTGTCTCAAAATATTCTTGAATATGGGATGCTTAAGTGCACTTGAGTAAGAATACCAACAAAGATGCTGTTACCTTAGGCCCTGGTCCAGAAGACAGTCTCCAGAGCACTGCCTTTGCAAGCCCTGGCAGAGCGGCAGGTGGGATGGGCAAGTCCATGGGAAGTATTAACCTGTGACTGGGAACGAAACGTTATCCTGACCACCACGTTCTTGCGTATTGATGTCACAGCCTAATATGGAGCTTTCTGGGGAATCGGGGAAAGTCAAGGCTCTATGAAGTCAGGGGAAAAGGGAAGCTGGAAAATAAGTACCTCGAGGTCAACGTCAGGCCAAACGTCTGCTTTCTCTTGACAGGAAAGTTCAAGTTCAAGGTGGTGTCACTTCCATGACATGTAGAGGCCAGGGTCACCAGTTCTTTGTAGGGACAAATGAGTGCCAGATTTACCGATTTAACTACACCGCGTTTAAAGAGGAGCTGATTGTTGTCTCTCATAAGGAAGCCATCCACGACGTTGTTTTTGTTCCGTGAGTATAACTGGGATACTTTTGGCTGGCAAAGAAGTTTCAGTAAGCTGCAAGTAAGGTCAGGATACCCATGTAAACACCTTTTAACCGACAGGAACCTAAAGCATATTAACATCCTTACGGGGTGATTTATACTGTCACCTACCGGCGAAACGCAAGGGTGATGATGAGTGGCTGCTTGAAAGCGGAAGGCAGCAGTTCAGTTTGAGAACTGGAAAAATCATCGATCTACAGAAAGAATTCTAAATGATAAGAGTAGAATTATTGATGTTTGGGTAACGGCAGCGATGGCAAACTGCCCCTTTTCTCCGAGGGTTGGTGCTGTGACTGAGTCTGCCAGCAGTGTGAATCCTGAAAGTCTGCTTTTGTGTGTCTTGTTGCAGCCAGAGCTTGTAGAGGTGTCGGGTTTTCTGTCCGCCTGCAACATCAGCTGAAACCTGACGGACAGAGCCGTTCAGAGAGGCTTTTTGGGTCTCTCAGCCTCGCTTACGATTTCATGTTTGACAATATGGCATGTTATATTAAATTCTAGGCTTGTGACAGGGATGCTGTGTGTACTAGCGTGTCTTCTGTCTGCTCTTGTCTTGTGAACAGACAGCAAACATTCCCTCTTCCTGTATAACAGGATTGTGGCCCTTTATTTTAAAAAAAACAAACCACAATGGATCAGTTGTTTCCTCTCCAAATGAAGAATGGGAGCTTGATCCCAAAGAAAGTTTTTATTTATGGCTTGTTGCTATTGCATGGCTTCTCGACACAGCACAAAGGATCAAATCTTACCAAGGTACAGCGAAGTGCTGAGTGCAAGACGCCCTGCTCCCTGCTTGTCACCAGCCTGAAAAAATCCGCATCCTTCTAATTGAACGAGAAAATCGTTTGGAGCTTTAGGGTAATCTGATGCTAATATACCTGGCTGACACATCTGCGTCACGGGTATGTGGATGAACTGGACTTAGTGATGACTCTGAGGACTACATGCTTGCATGTATGTTTAAACTTTTTATCTGTTAACCGCTCTCAAACAGCGCATATCACTGACTGGGAAATACAGGCTTGGTTCCCCTGTTCCAGCTTATTTCAGAATATTTCAATTGCTGACGTTCTCCTGCTTCATAAAGCACCTGCGCAGGCTGGGCTTGAAAGGGGCCACACTTTTGTTGTGACGTTTTTCTCTGTCCAGGTTCATCTTTCCAGGCGTCGATGGTGACATTGAACAAAAGCTTGTGGTACCTTTCTAGATTTCACTTTCTTTCATATCCCTAGGATGTATGGTTTAGAGCTTATTTCAAAGCATTCAGTCCCATAGGTTTTGAAAGGCTGTAGGTCTTTTTTTATTCAAACATGTACAACAAGTATATTACGAACAGGTTTTTGCCATTGTTTCTATTGCCTTCAGCAATGTTGTATAGGAATCATCCAATAAGCAAGATAAAAAATGACATCTTTACGACGTGAGGCTGCTGTTAGTCCCTGATGTTAAATCTGGGCAGTCAGCACCTCTACACCCACTTTGGTATCTATTATATGCAGCACGTGAAGTTGTTTAGAAATTAAATATGGGAAATATATGTCACAACTTCTGAAAAGCAGAAAGAATTATTTTAGTTTCACTTTAAGTGTTCCTTAAAATGAATCTTCAAGTAGAAACCAGACCAGGGGAATTTTGTGTGAGAAAGGTGATCCTACGAAAAATGCCTTTGTCTTAACCATGGTGATCCCTATTGGAAGACTGCAGTCACATGTTAGAAACAGCAAAGCTTTGAGGGATGAGTTAAGATCTGACAAAGAAAGAAGCGGTTGCTGTATGCCCCTCCTCATTCTCTCTCCTCTCTGACTTCTCCAGGGGAATTTCCGACTTGTTCGCTACCTGCTCCAAGGGTGATATTCGAGTGTGGTACACCCCAGATGGCAGGGAGCGCCTGCGAATCGTCGTCCCCAACCTGACCTGCCATGCCGTAGATATTACGAAGGATGGCTTCAGCATCATTTCAGGTAATGCTCAGTCCAGGCCCATGGCTGAGTCCAGTCTTCAAGTGTTGCCAGATTTAACAAACATCAGTATGGTAGAATGCAGAGAGGATTAAACTGGGAATGGGTTTAAATTCCGTTCATTGCTTGACCCAAATGCGTCTTTGCTTCCAGCTGGTCCAATGAACTTTGCTCACAGCCCCTGGTATCCTGGTGCTGTCGTTACAGTGTAGGTGGAAGGCAAGGTTTGGAGACCCGTGCTTTGGATGTAAATTCCAGCAATTCAGAATGTGGTGCAGAAGAGACCTAATTCTAAAATATTAACCTTGTTGTATGCAACAGCTTAATGTCTGGTGTATGTGGAGCACCTTTTGCATAAAGCCACTACCTATGGCTGTATGCAAATTGCTTACACCGGAGCTACTACAGTCCTAGAGCAGCGATGTAGTCCCGCCATTGTTATCAAACCAATTTGTGCATAGCCGTGATCAAAAAGGAATTAAATTTTAGTAGTTTATTTGGGACTATGGCTCTGCGGGCTCATCTGCAGCACAGTGGTTTTCACTTGTTGTCCTGGTTTCAGCTGGGACAGTGTTAATTTTTGTCCTGGTATCCGGGGTAGTGCTGTGTGGTGGGTTTGGGATGAAGGTGATGTTGATAACATGCTGATGTTTTCAGTTGTTGCTAATCAGTCAAGGACTTTTCAGCTTCTCCTGTGGGCCTGCCAGCGAGCGGCTGGGGGGCGTGGGGAGCTGGGAGGGGGCACAGCCAGGACAGCTGACCCCAGCGGGGCAAAGGGACGTGCCATACCGTGTGACGTCATGCTCAGGGTATGAGCTGGGGGGGGCTGTGCCATACCATGTGACGTCGTGCCCAGTATATGAGCTGGGGGGAGCTGACCAGATGGTGCTGTGGCTCGGGAACTGCCTGGGCATCGGTCAGTGGGTGCTGAGCAGTTGTACTGTGCATCTCTTGTTTTGTATATTCTTTTATCATTATGACTATTATTATTATTCTCTTCCATCCTGTTAAACTGTCTTTATCTCAACCCACCCAAAAAAGAGTTTTACCCTTTTTTTTTCCGGTTCTCTCCCCGTCCCGATGAGGGGGGCAGTGAGCAAGCAGCTGTCTGGTGCTTAGCTGCTGGCTGGGGTTAAACCACAACACATGTATACTGGTGATCTAACAGGGTGCGCCTGATAAAGGAACTTAATTAAAAACCGGGTTCATTTGGACAGGAAAGAGAGACAGTAGTATGAGGAAAGTCTCTGTGCACCTGGGTAATCTGTTTTTTGTGTTCATCAGGTTGGGATGACAGCAAAATCCGCGCCTTCACACCAAAGACTGGACGAGGAATGTATGTGATTGAGTATGCCCATGGCTTGGGAGTGACGGCAATTGCTGGTACAAGTGACAGTAAACGGATCATTAGTGGAGGCGGTGAAGGGCAGGTAATTTTTGCTTAAAAGCCTGGAGCCGCTTTGTGCTCTCCTCACAGGACCTGCGAATTGTCTGTAACTGCTTAGTCAGAAAGTGAGCTATTCTTAGCTTTCACCTGAGCAAAGGACTGAATTCGAAAATATTAGCTTTTGATATATGCAAACCTCTTGCTCTCAGAGGGCATGATGTAAAACAATGCCCTGATTTCTTCTGGCATGGTAGTCTTGGAAATCCTTCTAAAGCAGAATATGCTCTTAATCTTTTTTGTTCATTTGTCTCTCCCCTATATTTGGCTTATCTGCATTACTCATATTTTGCAAGCCTCCTGCTAACTGTGCTCTAGCACATATTTTCTTGCTATCATTGCTTTGGATGTCATAGTCCTGTCCAAATGGACTGGTATGAATTCATTTAATAGCACAAAGTTCACTTTATATCACTATGGTGCCTCTGGGGTAACTTCCTAACACCCATTTTCTGGGATGGTGCTGTCTGGTTTAGGTGGGAGTATTACTAAAAGGCTCTAATAACAACTCAGTTTCTAATACAATTATGGAAACATTTCCACACAAATAACAATAAAAATGGGAAAACATGTTGTAGGCATCATACCCGTGCACTTCAACAGTTTTTTTCCAGCAATACAAAATAAACTCCATGTACTTCGACTACTCCATGCACTTCATATAGATGTGGCCTTTTTCAGTCTGTAAAAGTGACACCCCTCTCCTAATGTTTAAATAATTTAGACACAGATTTTTTAATTTCTATTAAAAATAAATAATCAGACTTGGAAGGCTCATGTTCAGTTTCATGCCTTGGTTTGGGCTTCCTCTCTGCAGTCTGGCAGGCACTCAGAACCGGACCTCTAAGTGCACGTGGATTCCTGACTCCGATTTAACTGCTCAGTGCTTGCTCTGTGTACCCTGATCTCAAGTGTTCGGTGTGCCATGCTGGAGGTGGCAGGGGAAGTCTTGAAGAGCGAGGAATTGATCTTAGGTCTTCCAAATCTCAGGCTGCTGTCCCAATCGTTGAACCTTCCTTCTGAATCATTCTGCACCTCAGCTCTCCTGTAGAGCAGTAAGGCAGTGCTGCCTTGTCTCACCGCATAAAGACATCAGAGATGATGAGCCACTTCGAGCCTTCACGCATAAAAGAACAGTAAAGTACCTTGGCTGATTAGCGCTAGAGGATGCAGAAGACAGAGGACCTAGATTCTGTGTCAACACACGCAGAATGGCACAGGCTCTGAATTGAAAAAGACAGCTGAGACAGAATTAAAGCTAAAGGTTGGTTGAGTAAAAATGAGGACTGCAGGGGAGCACTTGCAGTGTTCATTCAGAACACGAAAAAAAGGTGTTCTGAAATGCTAACGGTTCTGTCAAAATCAGTCATCTGAAAGCTGTGACTTTCAGGGTTGCTTAAGGGATCTGGATGCTCTCATCATTTAGCAAGTGGGAGCTGGACACCCAGATCCCAAAGGTAACTCAGCATCAGACTGGAAAATGTGGAAGGTCAGCGCTCTCTGCTTTTAATGTCAGTGTCTAAATTTCAAAATTTTTACTAGGATTTGACCTTAGCGGAATGTAGAAGTGAAAAGATAATAATGAGATTTGGCACTAGTGGGACAGTAAATGCAAGATGTGAAGGATCAGGTCCTCAAAGCAGAAAGGTTTTTGCTGTTACCACCACTGAGAAAAGAGGTGCTTACAGGCACATATTTCATGTCAAGGTTTAAAGAGCTGTTTCCTGTTTACTTACTGGTGTTATATACAGCACAAATAGCAGGTAGCTTTTTTATGTTCCATTGTAGAAGCCTTGCTCTTTGATCTTTAAAGCAGTGTTGGAAATATGTTGTGGACTAGATACTACTTTGTGATCGAGAGATGAGTAAACTGAAGCATGGGAGAGTGAGAACTTGTCAAAAACAAGGTCTGGGGTTAATGGTCAGGAATTCCTGAACCAAGTGGATTACACTCTCAAGAACTCAGTTCAGTTTTATGAGTCAGCTGTGTGAATAACCCACAGGAAAAGAGAGAGTCCGTTGAGATGAGTTGCTGTATGGGTTAGAAGAAAAAAGCAGAGTTCAGGAAAGCCATGGGTATCCGCCTGAGCTAAGTCTGGAGCAGATGGTACAAGAGCAGATGTTTGTTGCTGGTTTTCAGGTGAGAGTCTGGGAGATTGGTGAGAAGACTCAGAAACTGGTGGAAGTTCTGAAGGAGCACACGTCTGCTGTGTCCTGCATTCAGATTAAGAAGGACGACCGAGAGTGCGTCACAGCCAGCCTTGATGGAACGTGCGTCATCTGGGATATTGTGTAAGGAGACAGATAAGTATTGCAAGGCACTTAAAGTGCTGGTAAAAGTGTTGCAAGGCACCTAAAATGCTGGTAATGTCTCTGTTGGGTCACTGTGCCTTCTTTGGAACACCACACAGCGAAGAGGAGGGGTAAAGAGCATCAGGAAATAAAAATCACTAGAAAGAACAATCAAGTCAGGGAATGTAGAATGTTTGTGTGCTAGAAACTTTTCAGAAAATTTTAGACGAACATTTGTCTCAAGTTGTTTGCTTGTATTGGATCCTGCTTAGCCAAGGGGGTGGAGCAGGTGATGCCCTAAGTTTCCCACTAGCTCCATTTTCCAGCACTTTATGACTGTTGTGGAGCTATTGCAGATCTGCAGACTTTCTGCATTGTGGCAAGGATAAGGAAGTATTTGCCTAGTGAGTAGCACCTGGGACGCATTCTGGATTAAAATATTTAATTTCGTATGACAGCAGATCAAAAGTCTTACAAGGCAGCTGTGATGGGGAACAGAACTGATGAGCCTGATAGGCTTGACGAGACCTTGAACTCAGACCAATAGCTGAAAATATCCAAGCAGAAAGAGAGATCCGATGGAGAGCACAGGAAGACATAGCTCAGGCAGTCAAAGTTCGTTTTTTGACCCGATTGCTCTATCCTGTTTTGGCGGTGTTTTGCAGGAATTTTAGAAGAAAACAGATGGTCCTAGCCAACACGATGTTCAAATGTGTGTGTTACCATCCCGAGGAGTACCAGATAATCACCAGTGGAACAGACAGAAAGGTAAGCAAAGCTGCAGGAATTCTGTTTGCAGTAATTCCAAACCACAGTCTGGGGCTTGTTATGCGGTGAAGCTCCTGAATGAACCTCCACGGAAGGCTGTGTTACAGGGCAGCGCTGATATCTGTGTGCTGTTCATGCACAACTGAGCTCTCCTCTCTGGTCTGCTCTCTAGGTTGGATACTGGGAAGTATATGATGGCTCTTTAGTCAGAGAAGTGAGGGCATCTGAATCAGGCCCCATCAATGGGATGGACATCACATCAGATGGGCCGTGCTTTGTCACAGGTGAGCGGGTGGATGAAACTAGAAAGGGGGAGGCAATGAACCAAGGATCTCAGTAAAGAAAGAAAAAACTAAAAGGAGGGATCAACTAAAAGGAAAAATAAAATGTATCACTGAGGAAAAGTACTTGAAAAAAGGCTGTGTGGAGAAGACTTGGATATGTATTGGTGCCATGAAAAGCCGGAGCTGCAGACTGAATAGTCAGAGGGCTATGAAGCAGGGATTCTTTATTGCGCCGCCGGGCACACGGGGGATCTCTCCTCCAAACGTGCGCGCCAAACACCCTGTCATTTCAGGTTAAATACAATCACAGTATACATATTCATTATATTTCTGAAAAATGTTTAGCATATTCATGAGTTTCCCAAGAACAAATTAGCATATGTTAATGTCTTTCACACACGTCTGGTAGTGTCCTCGGGTGGTCTTTGGGGGTCTCAGGATGAAGGCTCATACTCCTCATCACAGTGTCCGCTGGTTGACCTTTGTTTCTGCGCAGACTCAGTTCTAAGATCACGTATACCGTGTCCTTCCAGGTTGTTTTGCTCCGGTCTTGTTGCCCTCTTGGTGCCTCTTTATCTCTATGTAGTCCCGCCATTGTTATCAAACCAATTTGTGCATAGCCGTGATCAAAAAGGAATTAAATTTTAGTAGTTTATTTGGGACTATGGCTCTGCGGGCTCATCTGCAGCACAGTGGTTTTCACTTGTTGTCCTGGTTTCAGCTGGGACAGTGTTAATTTTTGTCCTGGTATCCGGGGTAGTGCTGTGTGGTGGGTTTGGGATGAAGGTGATGTTGATAACATGCTGATGTTTTCAGTTGTTGCTAATCAGTCAAGGACTTTTCAGCTTCTCCTGTGGGCCTGCCAGCGAGCGGCTGGGGTGCGTGGGGAGCTGGGAGGGGGCACAGCCAGGACAGCTGACCCCAGCGGGGCAAAGGGACGTGCCATACCGTGTGACGTCATGCTCAGGGTATGAGCTGGGGGGGGCTGTGCCATACCATGTGACGTCGTGCCCAGTATATGAGCTGGGGGGAGCTGACCAGATGGTGCTGTGGCTCGGGAACTGCCTGGGCATCGGTCAGTGGGTGCTGAGCAGTTGTACTGTGCATCTCTTGTTTTGTATATTCTTTTATCATTATGACTATTATTATTATTCTCTTCCATCCTGTTAAACTGTCTTTATCTCAACCCACCCAAAAAAGAGTTTTACCCTTTTTTTTTCCGGTTCTCTCCCCGTCCCGATGAGGGGGGCAGTGAGCAAGCAGCTGTCTGGTGCTTAGCTGCTGGCTGGGGGTAAACCACAACACATGTATACTGGTGATCTAACAGGGTGCGCCTGATAAAGGAACTTAATTAAAAACCGGGTTCATTTGGACAGGAAAGAGAGACAGTAGTATGAGGAAAGTCTCTGTGCACCTGGGTAATCTGTTTTTTGTGTTCATCAGGTTGGGATGACAGCAAAATCCGCGCCTTCACACCAAAGACTGGACGAGGAATGTATGTGATTGAGTATGCCCATGGCTTGGGAGTGACGGCAATTGCTGGTACAAGTGACAGTAAACGGATCATTAGTGGAGGCGGTGAAGGGCAGGTAATTTTTGCTTAAAAGCCTGGAGCCGCTTTGTGCTCTCCTCACAGGACCTGCGAATTGTCTGTAACTGCTTAGTCAGAAAGTGAGCTATTCTTAGCTTTCACCTGAGCAAAGGACTGAATTCGAAAATATTAGCTTTTGATATATGCAAACCTCTTGCTCTCAGAGGGCATGATGTAAAACAATGCCCTGATTTCTTCTGGCATGGTAGTCTTGGAAATCCTTCTAAAGCAGAATATGCTCTTAATCTTTTTTGTTCATTTGTCTCTCCCCTATATTTGGCTTATCTGCATTACTCATATTTTGCAAGCCTCCTGCTAACTGTGCTCTAGCACATATTTTCTTGCTATCATTGCTTTGGATGTCATAGTCCTGTCCAAATGGACTGGTATGAATTCATTTAATAGCACAAAGTTCACTTTATATCACTATGGTGCCTCTGGGGTAACTTCCTAACACCCATTTTCTGGGATGGTGCTGTCTGGTTTAGGTGGGAGTATTACTAAAAGGCTCTAATAACAACTCAGTTTCTAATACAATTATGGAAACATTTCCACACAAATAACAATAAAAATGGGAAAACATGTTGTAGGCATCATACCCGTGCACTTCAACAGTTTTTTTCCAGCAATACAAAATAAACTCCATGTACTTCGACTACTCCATGCACTTCATATAGATGTGGCCTTTTTCAGTCTGTAAAAGTGACACCCCTCTCCTAATGTTTAAATAATTTAGACACAGATTTTTTAATTTCTATTAAAAATAAATAATCAGACTTGGAAGGCTCATGTTCAGTTTCATGCCTTGGTTTGGGCTTCCTCTCTGCAGTCTGGCAGGCACTCAGAACCGGACCTCTAAGTGCACGTGGATTCCTGACTCCGATTTAACTGCTCAGTGCTTGCTCTGTGTACCCTGATCTCAAGTGTTCGGTGTGCCATGCTGGAGGTGGCAGGGGAAGTCTTGAAGAGCGAGGAATTGATCTTAGGTCTTCCAAATCTCAGGCTGCTGTCCCAATCGTTGAACCTTCCTTCTGAATCATTCTGCACCTCAGCTCTCCTGTAGAGCAGTAAGGCAGTGCTGCCTTGTCTCACCGCATAAAGACATCAGAGATGATGAGCCACTTCGAGCCTTCACGCATAAAAGAACAGTAAAGTACCTTGGCTGATTAGCGCTAGAGGATGCAGAAGACAGAGGACCTAGATTCTGTGTCAACACACGCAGAATGGCACAGGCTCTGAATTGAAAAAGACAGCTGAGACAGAATTAAAGCTAAAGGTTGGTTGAGTAAAAATGAGGACTGCAGGGGAGCACTTGCAGTGTTCATTCAGAACACGAAAAAAAGGTGTTCTGAAATGCTAACGGTTCTGTCAAAATCAGTCATCTGAAAGCTGTGACTTTCAGGGTTGCTTAAGGGATCTGGATGCTCTCATCATTTAGCAAGTGGGAGCTGGACACCCAGATCCCAAAGGTAACTCAGCATCAGACTGGAAAATGTGGAAGGTCAGCGCTCTCTGCTTTTAATGTCAGTGTCTAAATTTCAAAATTTTTACTAGGATTTGACCTTAGCGGAATGTAGAAGTGAAAAGATAATAATGAGATTTGGCACTAGTGGGACAGTAAATGCAAGATGTGAAGGATCAGGTCCTCAAAGCAGAAAGGTTTTTGCTGTTACCACCACTGAGAAAAGAGGTGCTTACAGGCACATATTTCATGTCAAGGTTTAAAGAGCTGTTTCCTGTTTACTTACTGGTGTTATATACAGCACAAATAGCAGGTAGCTTTTTTATGTTCCATTGTAGAAGCCTTGCTCTTTGATCTTTAAAGCAGTGTTGGAAATATGTTGTGGACTAGATACTACTTTGTGATCGAGAGATGAGTAAACTGAAGCATGGGAGAGTGAGAACTTGTCAAAAACAAGGTCTGGGGTTAATGGTCAGGAATTCCTGAACCAAGTGGATTACACTCTCAAGAACTCAGTTCAGTTTTATGAGTCAGCTGTGTGAATAACCCACAGGAAAAGAGAGAGTCCGTTGAGATGAGTTGCTGTATGGGTTAGAAGAAAAAAGCAGAGTTCAGGAAAGCCATGGGTATCCGCCTGAGCTAAGTCTGGAGCAGATGGTACAAGAGCAGATGTTTGTTGCTGGTTTTCAGGTGAGAGTCTGGGAGATTGGTGAGAAGACTCAGAAACTGGTGGAAGTTCTGAAGGAGCACACGTCTGCTGTGTCCTGCATTCAGATTAAGAAGGACGACCGAGAGTGCGTCACAGCCAGCCTTGATGGAACGTGCGTCATCTGGGATATTGTGTAAGGAGACAGATAAGTATTGCAAGGCACTTAAAGTGCTGGTAAAAGTGTTGCAAGGCACCTAAAATGCTGGTAATGTCTCTGTTGGGTCACTGTGCCTTCTTTGGAACACCACACAGCGAAGAGGAGGGGTAAAGAGCATCAGGAAATAAAAATCACTAGAAAGAACAATCAAGTCAGGGAATGTAGAATGTTTGTGTGCTAGAAACTTTTCAGAAAATTTTAGACGAACATTTGTCTCAAGTTGTTTGCTTGTATTGGATCCTGCTTAGCCAAGGGGGTGGAGCAGGTGATGCCCTAAGTTTCCCACTAGCTCCATTTTCCAGCACTTTATGACTGTTGTGGAGCTATTGCAGATCTGCAGACTTTCTGCATTGTGGCAAGGATAAGGAAGTATTTGCCTAGTGAGTAGCACCTGGGACGCATTCTGGATTAAAATATTTAATTTCGTATGACAGCAGATCAAAAGTCTTACAAGGCAGCTGTGATGGGGAACAGAACTGATGAGCCTGATAGGCTTGACGAGACCTTGAACTCAGACCAATAGCTGAAAATATCCAAGCAGAAAGAGAGATCCGATGGAGAGCACAGGAAGACATAGCTCAGGCAGTCAAAGTTCGTTTTTTGACCCGATTGCTCTATCCTGTTTTGGCGGTGTTTTGCAGGAATTTTAGAAGAAAACAGATGGTCCTAGCCAACACGATGTTCAAATGTGTGTGTTACCATCCCGAGGAGTACCAGATAATCACCAGTGGAACAGACAGAAAGGTAAGCAAAGCTGCAGGAATTCTGTTTGCAGTAATTCCAAACCACAGTCTGGGGCTTGTTATGCGGTGAAGCTCCTGAATGAACCTCCACGGAAGGCTGTGTTACAGGGCAGCGCTGATATCTGTGTGCTGTTCATGCACAACTGAGCTCTCCTCTCTGGTCTGCTCTCTAGGTTGGATACTGGGAAGTATATGATGGCTCTTTAGTCAGAGAAGTGAGGGCATCTGAATCAGGCCCCATCAATGGGATGGACATCACATCAGATGGGCCGTGCTTTGTCACAGGTGAGCGGGTGGATGAAACTAGAAAGGGGGAGGCAATGAACCAAGGATCTCAGTAAAGAAAGAAAAAACTAAAAGGAGGGATCAACTAAAAGGAAAAATAAAATGTATCACTGAGGAAAAGTACTTGAAAAAAGGCTGTGTGGAGAAGACTTGGATATGTATTGGTGCCATGAAAAGCCGGAGCTGCAGACTGAATAGTCAGAGGGCTATGAAGCAGGGATTCTTTATTGCGCCGCCGGGCACACGGGGGATCTCTCCTCCAAACGTGCGCGCCAAACACCCTGTCATTTCAGGTTAAATACAATCACAGTATACATATTCATTATATTTCTGAAAAATGTTTAGCATATTCATGAGTTTCCCAAGAACAAATTAGCATATGTTAATGTCTTTCACACACGTCTGGTAGTGTCCTCGGGTGGTCTTTGGGGGTCTCAGGATGAAGGCTCATACTCCTCATCACAGTGTCCGCTGGTTGACCTTTGTTTCTGCGCAGACTCAGTTCTAAGATCACGTATACCGTGTCCTTCCAGGTTGTTTTGCTCCGGTCTTGTTGCCCTCTTGGTGCCTCTTTATCTCTGTAGCTTGGTGCATCTGCCCTCTCAAGGCTGAGCTGTCTGGGGTAGAATTATTGAGGAGCCTCTCTATCTTAGAGCTTTCCTGCCTTCTCAAAACAGCAAGTCGAGTTTGTCTAAGTAGTGTTATTGAGGAGCCTCTTTATCTTAAAGCTTTCTTGTCTTCTCAGAACAGCAAGGATCTAGTTTAGTTCTGTAGCTTGGTACATCTGCCCTCCCAAGGCTGAGCTGTCTGGGGTAGAATTGTGGGGGAGCCTCTCTATCTTAGAGCTTTCCTGCCTTCTCAAAACAGCAAGTCGAGTTTGTCTAAGTAGTGTTATTGAGGAGCCTCTTTATCTTAAAGCTTTCTTGTCTTCTCAGAACAGCAAGGATCTAGTTTAGTGTAATTACAGTCACTCTGGTAAGTGGAAATTTTACATTTACAGGTATCAGTATGGATCAGTCTAGCAAGATGTAATGTGAAGGTGAAGACAAGGTTCAGATGTCTCCAAGGGAAGAATACAGGGTTTCACCTTGCCCTGCTGCTCATTTAGCTCAGTAGTGTTCACCGTGCCCTTGAGTGATGTGTTCGAGTGCCCTACTCCAGCAGCCTGGCAGTCCCTCCTGGGGAATGACTCCGGGCCCCCCCCAGCCTCAGGCTCACATGTTCTCCACCATCGTGACTGGGAGCCTAGCACTAGCATAGACACTGGCCATGGTACCGTGTATAACAACTATAGTTAAACCCCACAGATTTGATGTCAGCACGAGCTCTTTAGATGAACCTCTTAAACGAGGGTTGGTTAGCAGCCTGTCGAAGGCGCTCTGAACTATTGGTACCAGTTGCTGGCCAAAGCTCACTGTGACCTGCTCGTGCAGGTCCTGAGCACTCTGCTGGACACGGACTCTGTACTTCAGCTGAAAAGAAGTAGTTTGTGCCATTAAGCCCAGACAGTGTATCCCACCCTTCCTAAGTGAAGTGAATGCATAAATATTGCCCTGCCGCTGATCTGGGAACAGAAAGCAGCAGAACTCAGCGTAATCGTGTGTTCTCCCTTTGTGCCCGATGCAGGTGGTGACGACCATCTGGTGAAGCTGTGGGACTATAACGAGGGCACGGTGACTCACGTTGGAGTGGGCCACAGTGGCAACATCACCCGCCTCAAGATCTGTCCGGGGAAGAAGTACATCGTCAGCGTGAGCGCGGGTGGTGCCATCCTGGTCTGGAAATACCCAGCCCTGGACTGACAGCTGGCACACGAGCTGCTAGGCTGATGCTTCCTCGGCCAGTCCTAACGATCCTTTTCTCTGACCACTGAAGTTGTTTTAAAGCATTTGTACTGTCAGAGGAGATACTATTCTTACACTCTTTGGCTGTCACTCTCTTGCTTTCACACGATCTCTGTTTCTCTTCCCTACCCGCTTCTGTCCTTTCCTTTAATGAATAACTTGTTGTCTAAATTCAGTCTTCTGTGGTTGGCTGGCAGCAGGTGTGCGCTGCTGTGATTGGTGGAAGGCCTGTGTGTGCTGCTGTGATTGGCTGGCAGCAGGTGTGCTCTGCTGTGATTTGCAGGTGGCAACTGTGCACAGCTGTGATTGGTTTGAAGCATGTGTGCTCTGCTGTGATTGACGGGAGGCAGGTGTGTGCACCTCTGATTAGTTTGAAGCATGTGTGGGGCACCTGTGATTGGTTGGAGGCAGGTGTGCTCTGCTGTGGTTGGTTGGCAGCAGGTGTGCACTGCTGTGATTGGTGGGAGGTCTGTGTGCGCTGCTGTGATTGGCTGGCAGCAGGTGAGCGCAGCTATGATTGGCTGGAAGCAGGAGTGCTCTGCTGTGGTTTGCAGGTGGCAACTGTGCTCAGCTGTGATTGGTTTGAAGCGTGTGTCCTCTGCTGTGATTGGCTGGAGGCAGGTGTGTGCAGCTCTGATTGGTGGGAGGCAGGTGTGCCCTGCTGTGATTGGCGGAGGCCGTGGCCCCTGGGCTGCAATTGGTGGACAGCATGGG